TCGAGCTCTAGATTAGTTTCTTATCCAAATGCCTAACAGAGACCAACCAGAATCTGATCCAGTATCAAACTTCTGGGGGTATCCAAATGACCACACCTGGCTTACAGGTCCCCTCTTGGTCCAATCCTCAGTGGTCAGAGAAGGATCACGTGGCAAGCTGCCAACTCAGGATTACGGCAGATCTGGACTAGAATGGACTGGGAAGATAAGCAAATTGATTGTACTTTTCTTTTACAAATAAAAATTGTTCATGATATTAAGTCCAGTGAGAAAAGTTAAGTGTTTCTATGCTTCAGTATCTCAAAATACATTATTAAGAGATTATATCTGGACCATAAACAGGATGATTTTCTTTCTTTATATTTTTCACAGTTTTTACAATTTATGTGAATTTCTATCATAAGTAAACATGAGTTAATTTATTAAGAATTTATGAAGATACAACATGGACAATTATGATATATTAAAAATCGAGCAGAGGGGCGCCTGGGTGGCTCAGTGGGTTGAGCGTCCAACTCTTGATTTCGGCTCAGGTCGTAATCTCATGGTTGATGAGTTCAAGCTCCACATCAGTCACCATGCTGACAGCACAGAGCCTGCTTGGGATTCTTTCACTCTGTCTCAAAATAAATAAACTTTAAAAAATACAAAAATTAAATTGAGCAGAAACTATCAATACTAATCACAATTAGTTTGTACATATATATACACACACACACACACTGAATAGTGATTATTTTGATAGGTGAAAGGGTGATTTATTTTTCCCTTTCCTATTATTTCATGCTAGTTTTATAACAGCACATTTATTAATAACATTATGTTTTTTAAACCAGAAAGTGAGCAGGAAATGAAGACACACAAGGACTTTCATTCCACTACTGTTTGAATATTACAGGATACTATTCCAACAGAAATGCTGATCAGTAGAATTTGTTTTTCAGATTTGTTTTAGAGAGCTGTAATACAGCTCATACTTTCTGGGTTCCTGCAGTCTAAACAGACTTCCAACTTTGCTTTAAGAGTGTCTAAGATGTGTTACATTGTGGGGTGCCTGGGTGGTTCAGTGGGTAAGCGTCCAACTTCAGCTCATGCCATGATCTCATGGTTTGTGAGTTTGAGCCCCGCATGAGGCTCTGTGCTGACAGCTCAGAGCCTGGAGCCTGCTTCAGATTCTGTGTCTCCCTCTCTGTTTCTCCCCCACTTGCTCTCTCTCTCTCTCTCTCTCTCTCTCAAAAATAAATAAACATTAAAAAAAATTTTTAAAGATGTGTTGCATTGTAACCAAAACTTTCATCAATACCTGTTATAACATCTGCCCTTTGTTCAATGTTTCTGTATTTAATTTTTAAAAATTTTTAAATGTTTATTTCATTTTTGAGAGCATGCGTGTGAATCAGGGAAGGGCAGAGAGAGAGAGGGAGACAGAGGATACCAAACAGGCTCCATGTTGACAGCAGAGAGCCCAATATGGGGCTCGAACCCACGAATTGTTTGATCATCACCTGAGCTGAAGTCAGACACTTAACCGACTGAGCCACCCAGGCGCCCAGTGTTTCTGTAATTTTCAAGAATAGATGAGGAAAGCAGATTATTAAAAGATACCTGTATTGGGCACCTGGGTGGCTCAGTCAGTTGAGCGTCCAACTCTTGGTCTCAGCTCGGGTCATGATCCCAAGGACATGGGATGAAGCCCCGGTTCGGCTCCATGCTCAGTGTGGGATTCTCTCTCTCTTCCTCTGCCCCTCTTCCCAGCTTGCTCTCTAAAACAAATCTAAAAAACAAATAAAAAATAAAATCTACCTGTATTCTACATTCGTGTCTAGGCGGTTATGGGTGTGCCCCGGGGGTACCTATGAGAACACCATTTTTCCCCTGGGACCGTGAGAGGAATGAGCTCATTTCAGATGCCAGTGAATTTAGAACCTTTATAAATTTATACTGCGTGTACTATAGTATCACCAGAAAAAAACGCAGAAATAAAATTTCCAGATATTTAAGGGTAGATCATTCTTCATACTTCATACATTCTTGTCATTGTCACTGCTTTTTCATGGGAATAATGACGACATTCTCTGTTCTTTCCTTCTTAAACTGAAAAGAATCAAACAGACTTAAACCAGGACATGGAGCTGAGTGCTTACGTACTAACCTCAGCACAGCCCTCAAAACACACAGGGTAACATCCCTGATATCAACTCAATTTTACCCATAAAGGCAGAGAAAAAGACTTCCTGACGGATGGCATAGGATTGTGTTTCCATGAAATACCAAAGTGCCTGAAAAGTTGCATTGTTTTTGGGGCGCCTGGGTAGCTTGGTCAGTTGGGCATCCAACTTGGGCTCAGGTCATGATCTCACAGCTCATGGGTTTGAGCCCCGCATCAGGCTCTGTGCTGCCAGCTCAGAGCCTGGAGCCTGCTTCAGATTCTGTGTCTCCCGGTCTCTCTGCTCCTCCCCTGCTCACACTGTGTCACTCTCTCTCTCTCAAAAATAAACATTAAGGGGTGCCTGGGTGGCTCAGTCGGTTAAGTGGCCAACTTCGGCTCAGGTCATGATCTTGCGGTCTGAGGGTTTGAGCCCCGTGTCGGGCTCTGTGCTGATAGCTCACTGCCTGGAGCCTGCTTCTGTTTCTGTGTCTCCCTCTCTCTCTGCCCGTCACCATTCGCACTTTGTCTATTTCTGCCTTTCAAAAATGAATAAATGTTAAAAAAATAAAAATAAACATTAAAAAAATTTCTTTAATAAAAAAAAGTTGCACTGCTTTGGGGTCCCTGTGTGGCTCAGTCAGTTAAGCGTCTGACTCTTGGTCAGTTCAGGTCACAGTCTCATGGTTCATGAGCTCAAGCCCCATGTCCGGCTCTGCACTGCTTGGGATTCTCTCTGCCCCTCCTCTGCACATGCTCTCTCTCTCTCAAAATATAAATAAATTAAAAAAAAATTTTTTTTTCAATGTTTATTTATTTTTGGGACAGAGAGAGATAGAGCATGAACGGGGGAGGGGCAGAGAGAGAGGGAGATACAGAATCGGAAACAGGCTCCAGGCTCTGAGCCATCCTCCCAGAGCCCGACGCGGGGCTCGAACTCACGGACCGCGAGATCGTGACCTGGCTGAAGTCGGACGCTTAACCGACTGCGCCACCCAGGCGCCCCATCAAAATATAAATAAATTTTTAAAACGTTGCACTGCTTCTCCTACAGATTCTGTCCTCCCCCAGGACATGGTACGTGTCCCCCAGGACATTGCTCTCAGTCGGCCTGCATACAGCCGGATGCAGGACGAAAGGAAGTGGGTCAAAGACTGCCAAGTGCCTGTTCCGGCCTTCATGCTACCCTTTCTTCTTAGTGACAGAAGGCTGATTTTCAGCTGGGCACCCTGCAACCCAGAACAAGACACTCTCCAGACTCCCTTTCCCAAGTTTTGGCGTGCGACATATGTACTTACAGGACGCTTTTTGCAGAAGGCTGGCTTAACTGCGAGGGATCTGTTGTCCCACCTGTCTGCATCTTGCATGTGATGACTGGAGCTTCGGCACCACCAAGGACCATGTGACCACCTCAAGGGCTGATGGTGTGCACTAGCATGTTGGAACAGAAAAGCAGAGGGAGGGTCCCTAGCGGTGTCATGGAACCACTTTATCAGTCCTGGACTGCTTATCTTCAGATTATTCTGAGAGAAAAACAAGCTTTCATGAAATCACTCCTACTTTTTTCCCGTAATCTATATGCAGCTGAACTAGATAGATCCTCAGCCACACACGAGGCCTCGCTCCTGTGGCAGACTAAGAAGTCTTTCCCAGACACTACACCCTAAGCAGCTACTGCCGATCAGCAAGCAGTGATGATGCTTCATGAGTGGACTCCCTGAAGCTTACTGTTCTTATCATTTCCGTGACATTTTGGTATTCACAGTACAAAGATCATGATCTCCTCCCAGCTGACTTTACTGTTTGCTTCCAAAGAATTCCAGAACAAGCAACATTTTAAAACTGCATTATCAGGGCGCCTGGGTGGCTCAGTCGGTTAAGCGCAAGACTTCAGCTCAGGTCACGATCTCATGGTTCGTGTGTTCGAGCCCCATGTCAGGCTCTGTGCTGACAGCTCAGAGCCTGGAGCCTGCTTTGCATTCTCTGTTTCCCTCTCTCTCTGCCCCTCCCCTGCTCACGCGCTGTCTCTCTCTCAAAAACAAACATTAAAAAAAATTTTTTTAACTGCATCATCAGTATTAAAGGAAAACAGTCTAATTTCTTTCCCCATTTCCTAAACAGTGTCTATGGAGGACCCACTTTCCTGACACTGAAGTTTGTATCAAGACAGTTACTACCTGGATTCACTCAGCACTGTTCATTCACATGACTTATAAAATCTCTCCCACAGTTTAACCTGGATTTCTAACCTGAATGAGTGAAGTATTGTAGCAAGACTAGGGGTGGGAAATGGTAAAATTAGATCATCTTTGCTCTCTAAAATGCTTCTGCAGATGGTGGGGGGGGGGGATGCCAGTAGGGGGTGATTAGTAAAACCACTGGGGGAAAATGTCCACCATTAAACCTGCACTTTAAGACACCTTTAAGAGTGGTATATTTCCAAATGTCATTAGCTTTATTTTACAGGCATTGTTACTGCACCAGATGTAAAATTATCAACCTGCTCTTGTTCCGTTTAAGCCTATAAATCTGTGGATATGTGACTTGCTGCTGACTTCAAAGCCCTAACTCAATCATGAGGCTCTCTACTACCTAGAGATGCACAATCAAGCATTTACCATGTTAAAGGCTCAGAGAAGTCCTGCAGTAAAGAATGCTCTTGTTCCCATGGTACCCTCTAGGGTCAGATCTCTATGGGCCAAGGCTGAGCACAAGTGGATGCGCACAGCCTCCCGTGTGGCCCCCCACCCCCCCGAGTTCTGTGAGGCTAGAATTGGCCGCAGTGACTCTTCCTGACGTGCTGTTTGCTTGTCGACATCCTGTCTGTGATGGTCTCCGCAGACAGGACGCCCCGTCAAGCCATACTGTCTTTGTGGTGATATCTCTGATGCTGAAAAAGCCCCGACCTCTGCCTGAAGGCTTCTCCGCATTTGTTACACTCATAGGGTTTTTCTTCCTTGTGGATCCTCACGTGCTGAGCCAGGTGGGAGTTTAGGCGGAAGGCTTTCTGGCAAATGTCACACTTGAACGGCTTCTCTCCGGTGTGAATCCTATGGTGTCGAATGAGGTCTGAAGTCAGACTGAAGGCTTTCCCACACTCATTACAGCGATGGCTTCCGGAGTGGCTGTGGGTCCTCTGGTGGTGGGTGAGGAGAAGGGCCTGGCTGAAGGTTTTCCCACACTCCTGGCACTCACAGGGCTCCTCCTGACTGTGGATTCTCTGGTGCCGGTTGAGGTGGGAACTGCGTCGGAAGGTCTTCCCACAGTGGATGCACAAGTAAGGCTTCTCTCCAGTGTGGATCCGGAGGTGTTCCAAGAGGCCTGTGTTCTGGCTGAAGACCTTCCCGCACTCTTTGCACTGGTAAGGCTTCTCGCCAAGATGGATTTTCTGGTGTCTGACAAGGTGTGAACTCCTCTGAAAGGCTTTCCCACACTCCTGACACTGATGACCTTTCTCTCGAGGGCGGGTTTTCTGACATCCAGTAAGACCAGTACTGTGACACGCCGCAGACTCACAGAGCTTCCCTCGCGTGTGCGCGCCTTCGTGTGTGACCAGGTCCGAGTGGCGGGCGAAGCCCTCCCCACATTCTGAGCATTTATACTCGGGCTTCTCCTTGGGCTCGACCCGCTGCCTTTCCAAGTGAGATTCCTCAGAA